TCTTCTTTCTTTCTTTTTTAATTTTTTTTTTCGAGACAGGGTTTCTCTGTGGCTTTGGAGGCTCTTGTAGACCAGGCTGGTCTCGAACTCACAGAGATCTGCCTGCCTCTACCTCCCGAGTGCTGGGATTAAAGGCGTGCGCCAGCCACCAACGCCCTGCTGACCATCTTATTTCTGTTGTTGATGGACACAGGTTGCTTCATTTTTTTCCCACTTGTGAAAGATGCAGATATTCACTCACCCAGGTGCACAGTATGGGATCTGCCCCAGGTTGTTTGAGCGTACATCCAGAAGCAGAATTGCTGAATCATATATTGTTTTTATTTTGTTTTGTCTTTTGAGGAACGACCACGCTGCCTTCTATAGCTCCTGCAGGGTCACCATCTTAAGGCCTCAGGGGACTCCCTGGTAGCGTTTGGATGGATTTGAGTCGTCACAGTTGAGTCGAAATTCCCTGGTGCCTAGTGACGCTGAGCATCTCTTCACAGGCTTATTGACCGTCCGTGTTTTTGTTTGGAGACATCTCCATTCAGTTTTTTGCCCATTTCTCATTGTTATGTTTTCATTGTTGTTGTTTTGTTTTCTGTGGCTGAAAATTAATACCCAGAGCCTGGCACAGGCTGGGCAAACCTGTTGGGTCACACCCCTGGTCTTCTTTGCCTCTCTTTTTTGAACTGGGTTGCATGACTTTTGGTTCTTTATTTTTAATTAGTTCTTTATATATTCTAGATGTTGATCATTTGTCAAATACATATGTGATTTTCACATATTTTCTCCCATTCAATATGTTATTATTTCCCTTTGCTGACATTTCCCCTCTCTCTCTAATGACAGGGACCAAACCCAGGACCTGGCACAGCTTGGCAAACACGCTGCTAATGAGCAACACATATACCCTAAGAGTGTCTTTTTATTTTTGCACAGGGTTTCTCTGTGTAGCTCTGGCTGTCCTGGAACTCACTCTGTAGACGAGACTGGCCTCCAACCCAGGGATCCACCTGCCTCCCGAATGCTGGGGTCTAAAGGCTTGCACCAGCATGCCCAGCCCAACGTTAACTTTTGCTTCAAGCTTGCTTCTGTAGTTTTAGGTTTTAAATTTAAGTCTTTGTCCTGCCGTGGGCTGGATTTTCTTTTTTCCTTATGATGCTGGGAATGGAATCCAGGGCCTTACAAATGGTGAAAACATGTTTCCACTGTGTTACACTCAGAACCCCATTTTGAATTAACCTTGTACGAGTGTTGGAGAAGGTCCAGCTTCATTCTTTGTACATGGATAGCCAATCTTGCTAGTGCCGACTGTTAGAAAGACTCTCCTTTGTTCAAATATAGAAAATTTTAAAAGACAGGGTTTCTTTGTGTAGCCCTGGCTGCTCCGGAACTCTGTAGACCAGGCTGGCCTCAAACTCACAGAGATCTGCCTGCCTCTGCCTCCTGAGTGTTGGGATTAAAGGTGTGAACCACCACTGCCTGAATTTTTGTTTTTGAAAACATATTAATTACTTAAGGAATTCTGCCAGCACAGGGCTGAGGTATTGACTCAATCTCTAGATTTTAGGAATAGCAGAGTCTAGAGGGGCATCTCCCTGATGAGGGTGATATAGATCTGTCTTTTGTATCAACTGTTCCTATTAGTCTTTGAAAGGGGTAAGCTAAGCTCAAAGCCTTCACTTCTAATAATTTAGAAATAAAGAGACCAGACCCTCCCTCAGCCCCTAGCTTTAGCAGCCATGACAGGCTACAGAAAAGACATGTAGGCCTCTGACACAAGGAAACTCCAGATCCTTTGGCCTCCTGGAGCCTAGGGCCAAAACTGAACACAAAGAAACTCCAGGACCGCCCCCCCCCAGCCTCCTAGATGATTGGTTCCTGGGAACTGTTTGGCCACTAAAGAAACTCCAGGGGAGACCAAAACCTCCCCTGTAGTCTCCAGGATATAGTCCTAAAAACTATTGGTGTCTATGAACAACAGGCCACCTGCAAGTAACACTACAAAGCCATAGAAACCACAGAATGTTCCCTCTCAGCACCAACCAATGAGAATAATTGGCACACAGGTATTTCATGCCAAAATATGACTTTGAGAAATTCTCCTAATTGTTCCCAAATGTCAACCAATCAAGAAACCAACAGGTACCTACTGATGTAATCCTGCAACTTCTGTCTTTAAAACCTAGCAGTAGACAGGGAACTTCGCTCCCTCTGGAGGCTGCTGTGTCAGTTAGCCAGACAGGGTCCCTGTCATGGTTAGATGAACAATCAATAAAAGCTTGCTTTTGCAGTTTGATGGGTCTGTCTTCCTGGTGGTCTCTGGGGATCTTTGTGACTTGGGTACAATACTCTTCTCAAAAAACATTTGATTGTTTAAATTATAGTTTATGTTTGCATTACTGTAAAGAGGAAAATGTTAATGCTGTATACAAAATTTTCCCTTAATTTATTCATCATCATCATTATTATTACTGTTATTACTAGCGTACGGGTGTTCATGCCATTGGGCACATGTGGAATTCGGAGGACATTTTTTTTTTGGAGAACATTTTTGTGGAGTAGTTTTCTCTCTCCCTCTGAACATGAGATCAAAAACAGGTCACAGGGCTTGTGTAACAAGTGCTTCACGTAGGAGCCATCTTGCCAGTTGTCTTAGTAAGGGCTTCTGTCGCTGTGAAGAGACACAGCAGCCACTGAAGATGATCGTTGCAGCTCTTACAAAGGGAAACATCCAGTTGGGTGGCTGACAGCGCCAGAGGTTCAGTCCATTATGGTCGTGGTGGGACATGGCGCATGCAGAAGGCACGGTGCTGGAGAAGGAGCTACATATGGATCCCACAGGAACTGAGACACTGGGTGTGACTTGAGCATATGTGAGACCTCAAAGCCCACCTTCACAGTGACACACTTCCTCCAACAAGGCCACACCTGACAGTGCCACTCCCTGTGAGCTTATGGGGCCATGACATTCAAACTACCACACGAACCTTACGTTAATTTTTTTGTTTGTTTGTTTTTCGAGACAGGGGTTCTCTGTGGCTTTGGAGGCTCTTGTAGACCAGGCTGGTCTCGAACTCACAGAGATCCACCTGCCTCTGCCTCCCGAGCGCTGGGATTAAAGGCGTGCGCCACCACCGCCCGGCATGTTAAATATTTTTATAATCTGAAAGTTGGGCTTTTTTGTTGTTGTTGTGATTTTTAAGAGAAATGAAAACATTTGGGTACATTCCTGAAAAGAGTCCTCACTCTTTACACAGGTTATGCTTGTCTGCAACAGGCCCAGGGCTGTTTTAGGCTCTGAGTACACCACTACTTTGTGAGCATGATCACATTCTGTCATCTAAGCAGCTAAGACCCAGGATGGGGTGAGGCTTCTTGTGTGTCCCATGCCCCCCACATGTCCTGTGAGCTGTAGAGCACCCCTGATCTCTGTGAACTGACATGATGACATCACTTTCCTCTTATCACATGACTAGTAGGTGGCAGATTAGAGACCTGAACCCTTGGCTAAATCCTCTGTGTAACAGGTCATCATGGTTTCCTAGGAGTGTTTTGTGGGTCTTTCATATGCAGATTGACTGCTGGGCACGATACTGGGGAGGCTGGCTGGTCTTGGGGAGGAGGGGCCTAGGAGATGATTTTGAAGAAAGGGTAATGACATAAATCACCAGGGGAAAACCTTGGGGACCGCAAGCGTTCGTATGTGTGGACAAGAACAGCTTGTCCAGGAGGCACCCCAGGATGGAAGGGACTCAAGCAGAGGGTCGGGGGCAGGATGAGGAATTGGGCTTAAGTCAGTGTTTTGTGTGTGTGGGGTCTTCATTTCCATGAGCTATGGACTCCCCAAGTCCTCACTAAGGCAGACATTTTGCGGCTTTCCTTGATGCTTTAGAGATGCAGGATGGTCAAACGGCTGTCAATGCAACATCGGTGGGGGAACTTGTGTCTATTCGGACATCATCCTAGGACCAGGTCCCTTAGAATGCCTCAAATCCCTTCAGATGGTAGGAGGTGCCTGCCTGGAGAAATAGTACCAGCAGAGGGCGCTCTTCAGCGAGACAAGGATTGACAGGAACCCTGGTCTCTGCAGCCGCCTTGTGCATGGAGGACTGTTCTGGGGATTGAACTTGGGTTGTCAGGGTTGGTAGCAAGCACCCTTAGTTGCTGAGTTGTCTAGCCAGCCTCACTGATTGCTTCTTAATGATAAAAACCCTCAAAGTTCTTCTAGCTTCTTGAAATGTATCATGCATTCTTATTGTTGCTATACATTAAAGAGTTTTTTTTTTTGCAATGCTGGGGAGTGACCCCACTGAGCTACATCCCCAGGCCCACAATACATCACTGTTCTCTCTAGTCTTTGTCCTACGCAACCACACACTCAAGCTTCCTGTTCTTTGTTTGCTCTCACTCAATTCCCGTTGGCCAGAGTTCATCACCCCGTCTTCAGCCTTTGGTACCCATCATTCCCTTCTCCAAATTCTGACACACTTCTTTAGTTGTATTAAACAGCAGGCTGGCATTTAGTCATGCGTGTGGCATCCTTGAAGCCCACACAGCTTTGGTAGTAAGTAGGGCATTGGGTTGAAGCGGGGTGTGGGGCCGGAGCTTGCAGAGTTAATCTGATGCCCCGCTGTTTTTGTGGCTTCCACTTTGCCCAAGGGTTAGCATGTGTCATCACACTGGGCTCTTCTAGACATTATTACAATGATGGGGAAACACCCCAGGGTGCCAAAAAAATTCCTGCCCAGGCAGGGAGCTGCCTTCCCGGATCCAGGGTTTCTGACCTCAGCCCTGCTGCAGCCAATTGACAAAAGCACTATTGCAAGCTGACAAGCAAAAGAAAGCCTTGCAGACGCAATTGAGCTTTTGAGTGAGACTTGGGTGAGGCTGGGAGGAGCATCAGGCTTGGCGTCATCTGGCTGCAGGCCAGGCTGTTGCCTGGGTGATAATTTGTTCATTTACCAGCAGACAGCTGAGCCTGTTCTTCGAGGGGAAGCAGAGGAGGCGGTGCTGGTGTCCAGGGGAGCCTGGGTTTCTTTAACAGATAATACAGAGAGGGCTTTGCAGCGTTTGGAGAGCGCACCTTCTTTGCACAGGAGCTGGAGAGAAGCCTGGGGCAGGAGTTTGAGAGCGGCTGTCAGGAAAGCTAGAAGTGGTGACTGGATCAAGGAGGAGGCCCGTGGAGAAGCTGGAAGGCGGTCCTGGCAGAAAGCATTTGCTGGCTTTCTGGGCAAAAGATGAACTGAAGTAGATCACAGGTGTGTGTGTGTGTGTGTGTGTGTGTGTGTGTGTATGTGTGTGTACAGGTGCACGTATATGTGTGTGTGAGCACAATTTTAAAAAATATTTATATATTTATTTTATGTATGAGTGCTCTGTCTGCATGTAGGACTTTATGCCAGCAGAGGGCACCGGATCCCACTATAGAAGGTTGTGAGCCACCATGTGGTTGTTGGGAATTGAACTCAGGACTTCTGGAAGAGCAACCAGTGCTCTTAACTGCTGAGCCATCTCTTCAGCTTCCACAATTTTTTTTAAACAACAACAAAAGCAGCCCTACACACACACCATTAGAGGGAGAGAAAACTGGAGTTCAGAATCTCAGAGTTAGAATGCAGGATACCTTATGCCCTTCAGATGTCTGTCTGTCACATGTATGTATGTATGTATGTATGTATGTATGTATGTATGTGGTTATTTGAGACAAGGCCCTCTGTGTTGCCTAAGCTAGCCTGGGACTTATTATATGTAGCAGAGGCTGGCCTTGGACCTACCACCCTCCCGCCTCTACTCCCAAGTGCTGGCTGGTGAGCCATTATGCCCAGTATACACATTAATTACTATTATTATTAATTATTCTTATTGCAAATTCAGTGAATGATCTTTTGAGTAGGTAAAGGTTACTTTAGGACAAAAATGAGACTGGCCCCTGCAGACTGTCAATCAAAACCAGCGCTTCCTGTAAACATCTTGCTACAAAAGTATTTGTCATTCAAAGGGACAAGCATGCCACCACTTCACTCTCACAAGGCTTCTCAAGGGTCACATCCGAAGATGTAGAAGGGGGTTAGGGACCATCTGTGGGTGGGGAAGTCAGTGCTTAACGAGTGTGGGGTTTGTGTTTGCTCTGGAGGTGGACAGCGGTGATGATTACACAATAGCACGATGTGCTTAATGCCGCTGAGCTGTGCACGTGCAGCTGGGCGTGGCGGCTCACGCCTTTAATTCCAGTACTTGGGAGGCAGAGGCAGTATCTCTGCAAGTTCGAGGCTAACCTGGTCTGCATAGGGAGTTCCAGGTTAGCCAGTGAGACCCTGACTCAAACAAACAAGCGAAATGAAATAAACAAAACCAAAAGGAGGGTAAGGGCTCTGTAGACGAGTACTTACCAAGCATATAGCACACCTTAGGTTCAATACCCTGTAAAAGCTACCAAAATGAGTTTAGATGGTAAGCTTCAGTGTATGTGTATTTTGCCACAATGAAAACATGGCGTCCTAAAGAGATTCCCATTGCCCTGCAGACAAGGCATTCTTCCCCCCCCCCTTTTTTTTTCTCTTGGTGTTAAGCTTAGGCATTCTCCACCGAACTACACCCAGCCAGGCAGGGGCAGCTGTTCTTTAGACTGATGCTCAGGCCACCCTGCTCCCTGATACTATGGGGTCCTGGAGGGAGAATTAGTGCCCCCTTACACCCACTGAAAACACTTAGTGAACAGATAGCACCATCACCTGAGTTCATCTCAAGGCTTGGTGTTTGTGCCTCCAGTGCTAAGGGCGAGTTGACAGGAAAGGCTGACAGGAAGGGAGGGAACTGAAAAGACCTGCTTTGAGAACCGGGAAGAAGGGACAAGGCCTGGGCTAAGGAGGAGAGAAGCTAGGCCGCGTCTCTGGATCAGGAGGTGGGGGGTCCAACGGTACCCTCAAAATTCTTCTTCCTTTTCTCTGGCTAAATTGAGAAACAGGTTAAGCTTGCCTATTAAGGAGGAAATGAAACTAAATGAAACAATGTCACAATATCACCTCTCAAACTTCACGAAGGGAAACGGCCCGGTTACAACACAGAGCGGGTGGAAGGTCATGGAACCTAGAAGAGAGATGTTCAGCTCCAGCCGAGACACATGGCAGAGTTCTGTTAACTATGAATGATTTATGCGAGGCAACTTCTCTGGTTTAAAGAAATGCCAATGAGAGCCAATAATGCACTTACCGAACACAATTGTATCCGCAAGCATTCTCACACGCCAAGCTCTCCCTAGGGAAGTGTGCAGCCTGCCTTTTAATTCTTTTTTTTTTTTTTTTTTTTTTTTTTTTTTTGGTTTTTTGAGACAGGGTTTCTCTGTATTGTCTTGGAAGCTGTCCTGGAACTCGCTTTGTAGACCAGGCTGGCCTCGAACTCACAGAGATCCACCTGCCTCTGCCTCCCGAGTGCTGGGATTAAAGGCGTGCGCCACCAATGCCCGGCTCTGTCTTTTAATTCTTAAAACCATGAAAGGGGGGATTTTTAAAGGTAGAAACAGCATGAGACTCATAGTGTTTTGTTTCCTTTTTCTTTGAGAATGGGTCTCACTGTGTAGCTTAGGCTGGCTTCACCCTGGCTATCATCCTGTCTCAGTTTCTCCCAAGCCCCCAGACTCCAGGCATACGCCACCACACCCCAGGAGAGTTGTGTTTACTTATTTGGTCTCTGTGGTCTTTATTTCCGGATCCTTTTCATCAGGATAGTGTCCTAGCCAGAGAAGTTGAGTGGCTCACCCACATACCCACAGCTGGAACAGCAGTGTCAGGATTGGAACTCAAGCCTGTCCAACTTAAGATCTGTTCCTAAACATCTGTGTGCTGGGGAAAGAGCTACCATTGAGAGAAAGCTGTGAAAGGAAATGGATAATGAGTACCATGTTGTGGGAGCAATTAGGACGGTCTCTAAGTTGCTCTAGCATGTCACTGCGTGAGGTCACAGTGACATTTAGTGGGGACAGTGGGGAAGGCAACGAGCAAGGGAGCATTTGGCTTTAACGTTGACAAAGCCAGGAAGTACACAGTGTATAGCATGTGAAACAAGCTTGGCTGTGCCGTGTGTGTGTGTGTGTGTGTGTGTGTGTGTGTGTGTGTGTGTAATGTGTGATATGTGTGTGTGTGATGTGTGGATGTGTGTGTGTGTAATGTGTGATATGTGTGTGTGTGTGAGATGTGTGTGTGTGTGTGATGTGTGGATGTGTGGATGTGGGTGGGTGAGCTGTGTAAGTGAGGGAGACTTGTACAGGGTGTGTGGGGTGTGTGTGTATGTGTGTGTGATGTGTGTATGTGTGTGTGTATGTATGTGTGTGTGTGATGTGTGTGTGTGTGAGATGTGCGGATGTGTGTGTGTGTGATGTGTGGATGTGTGTGTGTGTGATGTGTGTGTGATGTCTGTATGTGTGTGTGTGTGATGTGTGGATGTGTGGATGTGGGTGGGTGAGCTGTGTAAGTGAGGGAGACTTGTACGGGGTGTGTGGGATGTGTGTATGTGGGTGAGTGTGTGGGGTGGTTGTGTAAGTGAGGGAGACTTGTACGGGGTGTGTGGGGTGTGTGGGGTGTGTGTATGTGGGGTGAGTGTGTGGGGTGTGTGTATGTGGGGTGAATGCGTGGGGTGGGTATATGTGGGGTGAATGCGTGGGGTGGGTGTATGTGGGGTGAGTGTGTGGGTATGTGTGTTTATGTGGGTATGTGAATGCGTGGGGTGGTTGTGTAAGTGGGGGAGACTTGTACGGGGTGTGTGGGGTGTGTGTATGTGGGGTGAGTGTGTGGGGTGTGTGTATGTGGGGTGAGTGTGTGGGGTGTGTGTATGTGGGGTGAATGCGTGGGGTGGGTGTATGTGGGGTGAATGCGTGGGGTGGGTGTATGTGGGGTGAGTGTGTGGGTATGTGTGTTTATGTGGGTATGTGAATGCGTGGGGTGGTTGTGTAAGTGGGGGAGACTTGTACGGAGTGTGTGGGGTGAGTGTGTGGGGTGTGTGGGTGTGTGGGTATGAGAATGTGTGGGGTGGTTGTGTAAGTGGGGGAGACTTGTACGGGGTGTGTGGGGTGTGTGTATGTGGGGTGAGTGTGTGGGGTTGGTGTATGTGGGGTGTGTGTATGTGGGGTGAATGCGTGGGGTGTGTGTATGTGGGGTGAGTGTGTGGGTATGTGTGTTTATGTGGGTGTGTGAATGTGTGGGGTGGGTGTATGTGGGGTGTGTGTATGTGGGGTGAATGTGTGGGGTGTGTGGGTATGTGAATGCGTGGGGTGGTTGTGTAAGTGAGGGAGACTTGTACGGGGTGTGTGGGGTGTGTGTATGTGGGGTGAGTGTGTGGGGTGTGTGTATGTGAATGCGTGGGGTGGTTGTGTAAGTGAGGGAGACTTGTACGGGGTGTGTGGGGTGTGTGTATGTGGGGTGAGTGTGTGGGGTATGTGGGTATGTGAATGTGTGGGGTGTGTGTATGTGGGGTGAGTGTGTGGGGTGTGTGTATGTGGGGTGAATGCGTGGGGTGGGTGTATGTGGGGTGTGTGTATGTGGGGTGAATGTGTGGGGTGTGTGTATGTGGGGTGAGTGTGTGGGTATGTGTATTTATGTGGGTGTGTGAATGCGTGGGGTGGTTGTGTAAGTGAGGGAGACTTGTACGGGGTGTGTGGGGTGTGTGTATGTGGGGTGAGTGTGTGGGGTGTGTGTATGTGGGGTGAATGTGTGGGGTGTGTGTATGTGGGGTGAGTGTGTGGGTGTGTGGGTATGTGAATGCGTGGGGTGGTTGTGTAAGTGGGGGAGACTTGTACGGGGTGTGTGGGGTGTGTGTATGTGGGGTGAATGTGTGGGGTGTGTGTATGTGGGGTGAATGTGTGGGGTGTGTGTATGTGGGGTGAATGTGTGGGGTGTGTGTATGTGGGGTGAGTGTGTGGGGTGTGTGGGTGTGTGAATGCGTGGGGTGGTTGTGTAAGTGGGGGAGACTTGTACGGAGTGTGTGGGGTGAGTGTGTGGGGTGAGTGTGTGGGGTGTGTGGGTGTGTGGGTATGAGAATGTGTGGGGTGGTTGTGTAAGTGAGGGAGACTTGTACGGGGTGTGTGGGGTGTGTGTATGTGGGGTGAATGCGTGGGGTGTGTGTATGTGGGGTGAGTGTGTGGGGTGTGTGTATGTGGGGTGAATGTGTGGGGTGGGTGTATGTGGGGTGAGTGTGTGGGGTGTGTATATGTGGGGTGAATGTGTGGGGTGGGTGTATGTGGGGTGAGTGTGTGGGTATGTGTGTTTATGTGGGTGTGTGAATGCGTGGGGTGGTTGTGTAAGTGGGGGAGACTTGTACGGGGTGTGTGGGGTGTGTGTATGTGGGGTGTGTGGGGTGTGTGGGTATGTGAATGCGTGGGGTGGTTGTGTAAGTGAGGGAGACTTGTACGGGGTGTGTGGGATGTGTGTATGTGGGGTGAGTGTGTGGGGTGTGTGTATGTGGGGTGAGTGTGTGGGGTGTGTGTATGTGAGGTGAGTGTGTGGGGTGTGTGTATGTGGGGTGAGTGTGTGGGTATGTGTGTTTATGTGGGTGTGTGAATGCGTGGGGTGGTTGTGTAAGTGAGGGAGACTTGTACGGGGTGTGTGGGGTGTGTGTATGTGGGGTGAGTGTGTGGGGTGTGTGTATGTGGGGTGAGTGTGTGGGGTGTGTGGGTGTGTGAATGCGTGGGGTGGTTGTGTAAGTGAGGGAGACTTGTATGGTGAGTGGCTTGTGTGACTCTGGATCACGCACTGCAGTGGCCAGCACTTACTTCTGACCTGAGCAGGGCGTCCCTTGTTTCACGTGAAGTAACTCACTTGTCTCCACAGCTCTACAGTTGCTACTTTGAGCATGTTTCCTGTTATGGATGAAGAAAATGGAGGCACAGAAAGACCCACCAGCTTGTCCTACACCAGCCTGTCCTCCTCATCCTCGTTCTCGTCTTCTTCCTCTATGACAGGCTCTCGCTGTGTTACTATGTAGCTCTGACTGGCCTGGAACACACAGAGATCTATTCATCTCACCCCCCTTAAAACTGTGTTTGTGTGGTGTGTGTGTGTGTGTGTGCTTGTCTGGGTGTGTGCAGGCAAACATGGAAGCCAGAGGTTGACATCAGGGGCCTAGCTCAATTACTCTCCATCATAGATTCTAAGGCAGGGTCTCTCACCAAACTTGCAGCTCATTCATTTGTCTAGACTGTCTGGCCAGTGTGCTCCAGGTATGCCTTCCTCTATACTCCCAGATCAGGGCTATGGACGCGTGACACAGCACTGGACTTTTCCTCGGGTCCCGGGGATCCAAACTCAGGTCCTCCCACTTGTGTGGCAAGCACTGTATTAAGTATGCCACCTCCTAGCCCCTCTTTCTTCTTCTCAGCAAGTTTGTTGCATTGACTGCTTAAGACAAGCCAGTTACACTCCCTGACCCATTTTTGTTTGCTTGTTTTAGAGATAGGGTCCGATTATATAGCCCAGGATGGCCTGGAACTCACCAACCTCAGTTGGGATAGCAGGTGTGTACCACTATGCTTGGTCAGAATGGTGTCTAATTCTGTGGTCTTCTATTCCTTTTATCATTGGTGTTTCAGGGATCATATTGTGCCTCGAGATCACATTGGGAGAAACGACAGAATTGTTCTCATTTTGTGGTTGGAGATCATGTTAACCGTGTGATACTGTGTTGGCTAAGAAACCCACACTCCTTCATTTAGCACAAGCCAAGGCAAGCCAGCCAAGGCTGCATGGCTACATGCAACCCTGAGAAATCTGATGATTATTTAGAGTGTAAAAGAGAGGTGGTGACCTGGTTCTGTGAGTAAAAGTACTGTTGGCAAAAACCATAGCAACCCGAATTAGACCCTCAAAACCCATGGTGGAAGGGAGACCCAATCCCCAAACTGGTCTTTGACTTCCACACCCATGCAGTGGCACATTTTGTACACACAATGATGACAACAACAACTTGTTTTTAAGAAGACCGAGGGGCTCAGCTGCTGACAGTCCTGGCTGCACTCACGGAGGACCTGCATTCAGTTCCCAGCACCCACAGGAAGGCTCACAGTCGTGTATAACTAACTGCCGGGTTCACTGGTCCTGACACCCTCTTCTGGCTTCTGTAGGCCCCGCATGCCTAGGCATATATGCATAAATACATCTTTAAAAAAATGAACGAAAGGGGCTGGAGAAATGGCTCAGAGGTTAGTGTTCTTCCAGAGTTCCTGAGTTCAATTCCCAGCAACCACATGGTGGCTCACAACCATCTGTAGTGAGATCTGGTGCCCTCTTCTGGCCTGCAGGTGTAAATGCAGACAGAACACTATACAAAAAAAAAAAGGAACTAAAAAAGTGTGTGACCATTGTATGTTTCACATTTGTGAAGTGTGCATAGACAAAACAGTTTCGTTGGTTAAAAGCTGGGGACCACCAGGGCTGGGGAATGTAGCTCAGTGGTTTAGCTCTGATGTAACATGCATAAGGCTCTGGGGTTGATTTCTAGACCTCAGAAAATAAAGCAAAACAACGAAGGACCACTTAGAGACACAGCACTGTGGCCTGGGTGTGGTTTGGGTGTACTCCTCAAGGTTTCAGGGGTCAGAATGCAGTCCACTGGGAGGTGTGGAGAGGCTGGAGGCTTAGTGTGACTCTGGTGCTGACCTAGAGGCAGGGCCTTTGGGAGGAGATGAGGAGAGAGCCCCGGTAGTGCTGTAAGGAGGGAGACCAGAGGACGTGCTCACATAAGTACCCGACTGGCTGGCTCTCGCTGTTCCATGTCCTGTGTGGCATCAGGACCTTGACAGCAATAAAGTCATCACTCAGTGAGGTCCCTCGACCTTGGCCTCGGGTCAGAACTTGTACTGAAACAAGACAAAGCTAGCTCTTTTCTAAACAAACAAACAAACAAACAAACCAAAACCCATACCCGTCAGTGGAACTGTGCTGATACGCACAGACAGAGAGCAAGCTGTACAGATGGGTCAGGCGTTCTGTCGCCAGGACAGCCCGAGTTCCGTTGGTAGCATGGGGCTCCTGTCTTCCTCCGGTTGCTTTTCTAGGGCTTGCCACATTAAAGTGAGCATGACCGAAGGCGGTCTTTCGTCATGCCACTCAAGGTGGAAGAGGCTGAGCTTGTTACTATAGCAACACAGGGGAGCCGGTCATTGGTCCCATAAATGTTTACTGAGCGCCTGTTATGTGGCAGGCTGTTTTATCTCAGTGATGAATGAGATAAAATAGACGTTCTTACAGAGGGTTGCTTCCAGTGTGGAAAAGGAACATCGAGCAGGGAAACCGACATAAATAATACAAACGCAGAAAGGAAGACGCTCTGTGAAGAGCATCTTTTTAGCACGAGCGGGAGACAGTGTGGGAACAGAAGCACACAGTGCGGAGTGGGGCCCCGGAGGCACAGCTGAGATTGTGCAAAGAGGGTAATCTAATTAATGTTAAAAATCCAATTGTCTTGTATAACTGCCGTGCCCAGTTCAGGCCTCATTCCTCAGTGAGGTTGCCGTCTTCATTTTACCCTTCCTTTCTCAACGATCCCACGACACCTCACTTCCGCAGAATAGGAGTAAGAACAAGATGGAGGGAGACCCCAGGGAGGGGGTGAGCCGCCGTAGGGGGGCATGGGGGCAATAATGGCTGTCCAATCCTTTCTCTCCCTCTCTGGCCGTCCTAAACCAACCAGGACAATAGCAGTTCTTTTCCAGACAGGGGGTATGACAGTCGAGTCTTCGAGGGATGCACAAGAAACACTCTCTCCCCTCGTGGAGTTCCAGGTCTGTCCAGTGTGAGGTCAGGGCCCCTCGGACACACCAGCGAGGTCTCAGCCCTGCCTTGTAGGGAGCTCAGCAAGAGCAGGATACCTCTTCCGGTCCTCTGGCTACTTGGGCGAGAGATGGTGACACAGATGTCAGGCTGCTGCTCAGTTATCTGGGTGTCAGCGGAATTAACTGAGCTCTATAGACTTCACTAGTGGGTTCTCATGGACAGTCTCTCTCCCCTCCTCTCCTCCATCCCCCTCCTATCCTTCCCCCCACCCCTGTCTCTCTGAGGAGGGGTTTAAATAGAAATAAAAGACACTGTCCAAAGTCTTGCCACCAGCAGAGGTGCTCCGTAAGTCATGTTCGTGAGAAACACGTTATGTGGCGTCAGGTACACATGGGGTCAAGCAGATTAGAGCTCTGCTTATTGAAGAACGTGGATCTATATCAGGCATAACACAACAGGAACAGGACCTAGCAGTATGAGGGTTAGGCTCTGGAAGGGGGCCGTCTTGTGTTTGCTTCAGTATTAAGGACACTGAGTTCTCTTGGGGGATGTGAGGGAAACTCTGCAGAGGAGATAGACACAGAACAGATGGGATGTGTGTGATGTTTGTGAAGCGATGAGAGAAACGAGAATGCCCCTTACAGACGGAACAATGGGCTGACAGATTACCCTCCACTATTTATCAGGCACCAGAAATAGAGACTAAACCCTATCTGTCGAGCAGACTAACTGGAGTCTACTGGCATGATGTGGGTCTGCTCTTGACGCCTCCCACAGAGCGTTGACTCCAGCAGGACCTCCTGGCTCCCGCTTCCCCAGCTCTCACGTCTGAATCCATATAGGCAGGAGGGACGGCTGGCACACCGGAGAACAGGGCATAGGCATATTGTGGAGCCTGGGAGCTGGATGGGACTCCCTGGGCAACTAACACTGTGCCCACCTTGTCCTGTGCCTTGAGTACATTAAATAAACACTCACTGTGATTGAAGGATTTTAATGTGGTCTGTGAGCTTTTCTGGATCGGTTTGTGGGGTTTTGGTTTTTTTGTTTGTTTGTTTGTTTGTTTGAGACAGGGTCTCACTATGTAGTCCTAGCTGTCCTGGAACTCCCTATGTAGACTCGGTTGGCCTTGAACTCAGAGATCTGTGTGCTTCTGTCTCCCAGTTCTGGGAGTAAAGACGGATGTCACCCAGCTTTTTGCTGCTGTTGGTGGTGCGTTTGTTTGCTTGTTCGTTTTGTTTTTGAGGCAGGTTAGGGCTATGTAGCTGGCTCAGACTTCTTGGTGTCAAACCTCAGGTTCGTCAATACTGGGACTACGGGTGTGGCTCGCCACACCTGGCCAAGCCGTTCTGCCTTGATCTGAGTGGCTGGTTTTCACGCACCATGACTGGAGAAAAGGTGGCCTCCAGGTAATTTCTGAAATGACTGGTGACTTAGCTCCAGTCCCTGAGCAAAACCCCACGAAGACAGGGTTTTTCCCTGGCAGGTGACTCCTGAGGGACTTCTCTCTGGAGAGGAAGTCTGTGAGGAAGTGAGAGAACCAGGACAGGGCAAGGGACAAGTGACAAGGCCGGACAAGGAAGAGGCTCGTTGGTGACACACTCAGCCCGATTCACCGCAGAGTTGGACTCACTGGGGGGGGGAGGGGGTGGCACCTTTATTTCAGATCCATGACAAGGGGTGGGTTGCACGTGGTACCATCCACATCTATTACAGAAGCTTCTAAAGGCCCCTCCCAGGCCAGCTCGTTCTCCTCCCTATTTTTATTTTATTGAAAACAGAGTTTTCACACACGCGCGCATACACACACACACATGCATGCACACACGCATGCACACATGCATGCACACACACACGTATATGGTTTTTCAAGACAGGGTTTTTCTGTCCTGAAACTCTCTGTAGACCAGGCTTCCTCGAACTCACAGAGATCTGCCTGCCTCTGCCTCCCAAGTGCTGGGATTAAAGGCGTGCGGCACCTATCACAGTTTCTCCTCCCCTACTGCTCTGAGATCCTCCTCCCCTCTCTTCCAATCTGACTCCTCCACACACTTTCTGTCCCTCATTAGAAAGCACAGGCATCTAAAGAATAAAATAAGATAAAACAAAAGCAAAACAATTGGAATAGGGTATAACAAATAAACAGAAGAAAGAAAGAAAGGTAGAAAGATGAGAAATATATACAGATGTAGAAACTCATGTTAGTACACACACATAAACAAAACCAGAAGCCATAACACATATGCAAAGGGAAAATAAGAATAAAAAATGCCCAGACAAAACATGAGACAAAGATCCTTCAAATATGCCATTGAATTTGTTTTGTGTTGGTCGTCTATTGCAGGGCATGGGGCCTTCCTAAGAGTGGTTTGCATCCCCCGTCAGACTCTGTTGGAGAGAACTAATTTTTCATTTCCAAGTGGTTATCAATTGGAAATAACTTCTGGGTTAGGGATGGGGACTTGAGTCCTCTTCTGTTAGTGCTGGGACCCATCTGGTGCAGATCTTCGCAGGTGCAGGTCCTATGCATGCTGCCACAGCCTCTGTGAGTACCTTCCAGGACCACGAACACTAGTCTGTAGGGCTGAAGGCTCTATGTAGGCACCAGCTCAACTTCTCCATGTTCAGTGAGTTGTGTAGGTGTTGTTTTTAGCAAGAGGGCCTTGCTGCCAGTTCGTGGAGAGCCGCGATAGCCTTGGCAATAGCCTGGCTTGTTGGTGGTTCCCACGGCGCCCCTTTGTCCAACATTTCAAGTGTATATAACCCACCAGGTGAGTTCCAATGAGAAGAGAGAGTTTAGCAGATTGGGAACACAGCAGCAAGGGACCAGAAAGGCAAACGGCAATCTAGTTAGGAAGTGTCCGAAACCAGAGCAAGAAGGACAGATCTGACTTGACGGGTAGGAAGTCGTAGCGACTCTGGGCGTGAGCTCACAGAGGGTTCACAGAGTGTGGAGGCAGAGGCATGAACTGAGAGAGAGCTGTTCTCAGACGGGAGCAGTGGGGGCCAGAGTGAGCTACACAACTGGTGTAGTATCTCTTCCTTCGTGAGGCTCTTGGGTAACTCCATGTACTCAGGAGGCATCTTACCAGGGCCTTGTTTTGCAGACATCTGCTGGGCTAGGTAAGGCTCACCACCCCATGGTGAGCATCATTGCCCTAGACTCTCAGGTCAGCACCTGATCTGCTGAAGTCACACATGCCGTATTTGTTACTAGATCTCTAGGTGTGCTGGCTGTCCTGGAACTCACTGTGTAGACCAGGCTGGCCTCGAACTCACAGAGATCTGTCTCCCTCTGTGCTGGCTGGGACTAAAGGCATGCTCCATCACCATCTGGCTAAGCCTCAGGCTTTTATCTAAGGGGTAATGGCTAAGTGTCAGCTGTAGGACAATGACCCT